TGACCACCACAATATGCTGTTGTTGTTAGGTGCCACTGAATCAGTTCCAATTCATAGAACCCTTAGTGCAACAGGAATAAATGCTGCCTGGCCCTGTACCATACTTGCAGCTACTGCTATGCCTGAGCTCACTGTTGCGGCTACTAGATCAATCCAAATTGTGGGCAGTGTTCCCTTTTTCACTAACTCTTTACTTCACTAAGGGAGCTCTGGTGGCCTAGTGGTAAGAAGCTGTGCTGCAATCCCGAAGGTATATAGTTCGAATCCTCCGGCAGCTCCATGGGTCAAGAATGGATAATATTCTCCTGTGTGATTAACTGCCTCTGAAAACACACTGGAGGGTCAGCTATAGGTCAGTTCTGATCTGACGGCACACAACAACAATAGCAACATACTTTACCAAGCATCCTGTCCTTTTCCAGAATACAGACAGATAAAAGACATTTTCTTCAGTTTCTTCTACAATGGAACCCTAGCTACTACGCTGTATATCTAATTCTCCTGTTTAATGCGCTGAAGCACAAGTGGCTCTAACCCCTATGCATCTCTGATTAAGAATCTCTTAGTAGGTAAAAGCTTAGAAGAACTCAAGAAGCCCTAATCCACAGTATGAACAGTCTTCCAAGCATAATTAAAAACCTACAACCAGGAGAGAACAAAATAGATGAATGGGAACTTCTAAGAATGAAATCCCTATGCACACACACACACACACACACACACCCCCCCCCAAAAAAAAAAAACCTACAAAACACAAAAAACCCACCCTTCTCCAACAGGGTAAAAAGGGAAGCCACAGACTGGGAAAAAATATTTGGTAATGACATATCTGATAAAGGTCTCATATGTAAAATTTATAGAATTTTCCAGCACCTCAACAATAAAAAAGGTAAACAGCCCAGTAGCAAAACAGGCACAGGATATGAATAGATACTTCATCAAAGAAGACATTCAGATGGTGAACAAACACATCAAGAAATGTTCAAAATCCCTAGCTCTAAGAGAAATGCAAATTAAAACAACTATGAGGTATCATCTCACCCCAGTAACAATAGCAAAATTCAACAAAGCAGCAAACAATAAATGCTGGGGAGGTTGTGGAGAGATTGAAACCCTTATTCACTGCTGGTGGTAATTTAAAATGGTGCAACCACTATGGAAGGCAGTGTGGTACTTTCTCAAAAAGTTGGAAATAGAAATACCATTTGACCAGCAATTTCACTACTGGGAATATACCCTAAAGAGACTATAACTGCCACCAAAGCAGATATATGCACACTCATGTTTATCACTGTTAGTTACAATAACAAAGAGGTGAAAGCAACCAAAGTTCCCATCAAAACTGAATGGAAAGAAAAATGATGGTATAGTCATATAAAGGAATACTGTGCAGCACTGAAAAATAATGAACTTGTAAAGCATTACACTACATGGGGGACCCTGGAGTATATCATGCTAAATGAAATATTTCAGTCACAAAAGGACATATACTACATAGCAGTACTGTTACAAAGCAGATCTGAGATGGGGGTTGGAAGGAGAATAGAATAAGAGTGGATAGATAATGACCACCACTGCATTGGAAGAGATGAAAGAAAGAACTGTCTAAAATGAATATATGATTAGGTATTATAACAGCCCAGAATAAGAGATATTTATCATTGCAAAGAACAGTAGGGGTTGAAGGTAGGTAATTGTGTAACAATGAATGAATATTTTTTTAAGTGAACTGGGGGAGGGGAAAGGGAGTGTGAACAGGTAAAATGTGCAACAATGAATGAATGAAAATGTAACTTCTCTATAAATGTTCATTAAAATCACAATTAAAATTTTACTTTTCAAAAGAAGAATTTCTGTAGTAAGGTAATTACTGTAAGTATTTCTGATGACAACAACCTCCTCCTCAATCTTTGTGGTAGCTTACACTATTTGTTCATAATTATTTGTTGATGCCTTTATTTGTTTCAGTATACTTCCATACCCCATGATTTTTTTAGTTTAGCCATATGACTTGCTTAGGCCAATGAAAAACAAGCGTATATGATATCAAACATTTTTGAGCTTGAACTTAACCCATGTTGAGTGGTTTAGCTATATGCTTCCTTTTTGAGCTTTCCCCCTCTTCCACGGAACAGTACTTCCCACAGGGGAGCTGTGCCTTCCACCGGGTGTTGAGTGAGATGGAATGTGGACTTGGTCAAGTCTAGAGCTCAGCTGAGCTTCAGCTGATATGCCATCCTTACAAAACCTCAGTCAGGTATAAACGTTTGTGGCTGTAAATCAACTAGTGCTTGTGATTGTTCGTTCCTGCAGAAAAAGTCAACTAATATACACTTTTAGTGAACTGTTAAATTCTTCAAGTGAAAGAAGGACTATGTTTAATCTTTATGATATGCCCTAAGACTCAGCACAATCCTATGAAAACTGGGAAATGATTCACTTTATTACATAGAAGGTCACCATGAGTTGAAGCCAACTCAACAGCTATTAACAACAGACAGTAAGCGCACGCAGAGTCGGCTAGGATTTATCATGTCCATTACAGCTCTGTTGGCTGAAGTTTGTCTTTAATTTGTAGTTCTTACCACTGACACAGCTGTACCATCAGAAGAGTTTCCTTAGAGTCATGTTCAAATTCCCCCTCACTCTGCTTTCCAACTGCGTACTTTTTGGTCTTTTGAATTATGGCTGCTGATGGGTAAAGAAAACTCATATTACCTATGCTTCACAAAAGGAGAAATGGGCCTTGGCTAAGACATATATGACTTATCCCTGTTACATGTTGTCAAATTGATTCTCACAGCCACCCTCTTACCTCATCTAAGAAAGAAACCCATTCCTGTCATCAAGGTAGTAATCTTTTTTTGAATTAAATTTTATTAGTTTTAATGAACATTTACAGAGATTTGGGGTTTTCACTCATTCATTGTTGCACTGTTTTCTCCACCCTCATCCCCAGTTCGTTCTTCTTCCTCCCCCCATGTCTGTTTTAATTGTCCAATTGCCACAGTGCTTGTCAAAGCCAGTTCTGATTAATCTCCTTTGTCAGTGTGTCCCTTGCCATTCCCTATCACTCCTTCCTGAAAAAAAAAAGGTAGTAATCTTTACAGAAGCAGACTGCCAAATCTTTATCTCATGGAGCAGCTAGTGGGTTCGAACCACTGACTTTTTGATTAGAGTCCAGGTACTCAACAACTACTCTGCCAAAATTCTTTTTGAACCATCTCACTCCAAAATAATTAAATTAAAGTAGTTAGTGCATGCTTACCAGGCAGGGACTGTGGTGGTTATGCTCTATGCTCTCTTTCTAACCTAAAAGAGGCCACAAGCTTTGCACTGGAGTCCCTGTTGTGAAGAAAGCAGCTCAACTCCTGCCCTCATTGTTTCAGTAAATGCCCCACCATGTGCAGAAACCAGATGAAACATGTTGAAAAGACAGTATAAGCCATGGCTCTGCCCTTCAAAGGGCTTATAATGTAACTTAAACAACTAAGAGTTGTTTATATAACCACTTAACTCTTCAGAAGGCAAGTACAATATGGTAGAAAAGAGAGCTGGTCTTAAAGTCAGGAGACACGCTTCTGGGCCTGGCTCTGGTGTTCGCTAAATCACTTTAAGAAGATCTTTGTCTTTGCTATATCTTAATTTCCATGTGCAGAAAATGAACCAACAGGGTAAATGAAGAGCCCTCACAAGTCTATAGTTTTGTGACTTGAAGTGATATTACTAAACCACACAAATGTAACCCAATGGCCCAGTGTAGGATACAGGCCAGGTAAGCTATGCATTCTGAGGTCTTCTCTCCTGTGCCCTGTTCCCATCTCCTAGCTAGTGCGATTCTAGTTTCAACACACTGCCATCAAGTTGATTCCAGCTCACAGTGATTTGAAAGGACAAGGTAGAGCTGCCCATAGGGTTTCTAAGGCTACAAATCTTTACAGGAGAAGCTGATTTCCTATTTTCCCCCAGGGAGAAGCTGGTAGGTTTCAACTGCCAACCTTTTGGTTAGCAGTCCAATGATTAATCTGCAATGCCACTAGAGCTCCTGGTTACAGCTCAGTAATAGGTATTCATCTCCTATGCCCTGGGTCATGAACCATCTCAGAGATCTCAAGGAGCTGGTCTAAGATCATAAGTCCTCAGCAATAGAATTCCAAAATTATTCTCAGACACGACAAAGAGGAGTGGAAGAAGGGATTCTCTAAATACTGACTTCACCCCTAGGAGCCCCTTGGCCTGGGGTCTGCATGGGCTGATGGTTAGGTTTCTGAAAAGATTGTGTTTATCCATGAAGGGATAGGCTTTTAGAGAAATGGTGAAGGGGAGATGTTTGTACAATTGATACCCTGATAGGCAGTATCTTTCAAAAAAGCCTTTATGCTTGAAGCAGAGCACTGAATACTCTCTACTGCTTGGACAAAACCAGTTCTCACAATGACAGGTGGCGTGCCCATAATCATAGTTTCTGAGACCTGAAATGCCCCTCAGCACGGAAGGAAAAGAGGACTGGGAGAAGCAGCAAAATAGAACTTTCAGAACATCCACTGATGCTTTTCTGATTATATTTTGGAAAAATACAGACAGCAGAGATAATCCTATTGGCTAAAACACTCTGCTGGCCTCAAGAGATTAGCCAACTCTGCTCCCCTGCCTTTTCTGAGGCAAATAGATTTAAATTGCAGACCCAGAGCCTTATGGGGATTGCTCATACAGCTGGTGAGCTGTTTTCTCCATGTAGGCTGCTTTCATTTGGCTGTGTAACCGTTGAGAATGTTTTCCAGAGGTTAACAGAAGCTGGGACCACAGTGCGTTCAACGTTGTTTAACATTTTGATGTTTAACTCACATCAGAGTTGAGTTCTTTAAAGCCAAGGATCTAATTTGAAAATCTCCATTTCCACAAAATCGGGCTCCTCTGCAGCTTGCTCTTGGCAATTCAATGAAGGAAATCAGAGGTGGTGACAAGGTAACATTTTGAACAAGAGTAACAGGCTTACTTACTCGGGACTCCAGACACCAGCCGCAAGGGGCGCAGCACTCGGAAAGCCCTCAGCGCCTTCACGTCAAAGCCAGCCCCTTTTCCTCCTAGAACATTTGGCCCATCTGCTTTGGTTGCTTGTTCTAAAATTGCACTAAAAAGCCTGGAAAGGAGAAAAGGAGAAAAGGGGCTGTCAGAAGAGTGGCTCCTCACCCAGCTGGGCTCTTGACTCTCTGGGAGATTGGAACCTGGATCCCAGACTCTCCAGCCCCAGATGTGTAAAAAAAGAGGATCCTTGGATGACTGTGATTAACATGTTTGCCCAGTGCAGGTAACACCCATGCTAAAGGTGGAAACACACTCCAGAGAGCTATGAGCAAGGCGACATGGGCAACCCTAAACACAAGTGTAAAACAGATCAAGTTCACCATCAGGGCCCCTGGTCTCTCTCTAGTGACCCCTACACCCTCCATGATATCCTACCTCCCCTTCCCATGAGACCCACAACCCACATACATTTCTCTCCTTCCTACTCACTTCCTCCTAACAACTCCTTTGCTTTGACTGTACCTGGGCACAAATACCTGACACCAAAGAAATCTACTTTTTGGCTAATACATAACAGATGTTCAAGTTCAATATGCTCAATGAGTGAATGAACCACTGTGCAAATGAACAATGTTTCAAGAGGGATTAAGACCACACAATTAAGCATGCAACTGAGAAATGGAAATTCCGGCTCTGTCCATTCATAGCTGTACGAATTCATTCCTTCAACAAAGACGAGCACCTGCTCTTTGGACCAGACACTTCTAGACTCTGGGGCCATAAGAGCCAAGGCTTTAACCTTAGGAAGCTTACATGCAGGTAGAGGAGACATACACACATATACCCACATACCCATTGTTACACATAAAGACAAAAAATTATTTTTATATTCTATTCTATTCTATTTTATATTATTCTATTTATTCTATTCTATTATTTATATTACATATAAATTAAAAATTCATATGTAATGAAAGCCAAACAAACAAAAAACAAGCTGGTTGCTGTGAAGCCTCCTGGTGATTCCATGTACGTCAGAGACTTGTGCTCCGTAGAGCTTTCAGTGACTACAGTCTTTAGCAAGCAGATCATCTGTGTTTCTTTGAAGTGTCTCTGTGTAGATTCAAACTACTGACCTTTTGGTTAATAAACAAGCACATAATCATTTCTAGTGGGGGGGACTATATACTTAAATTAACCAGAGCTCACATCCGCCAAGTCAGTTCTAAATCATAGCAAACACTGCACACTGGGCTTCTGAGGCTTGTGAATCTTAACATAAAGTGACTGGTGACTACCCATTTTTCTGCTGTGTCATACTTAGTTGTTAAATACAATCAAGTCGAGTATGACCCATATCAACCCTTATGAACAACAGATCAGACCTCTGTCCAGTCCTGCACCATCCTTATCACCCCCGAAGCACTTGAGCCCATTGCCTCAGTCACCGTATCAATCCATCTCCTTATATTATAGCAACAACATATTACAAAACAAGGGAGCGCTAGTGGCCTAGTCCATGTGAGTTGTGCCACTCACCCAAAGGTAACACCTCTCCATGGGGTCAAATTCACCAGCTGCTTAGAGGGAGAAGGATGAGCTATCTCCTTTTGTGTGATTTACAGCCTCTGAAAACCCACTGAAGGGTCAGGATGAGTCTGCCCTGACTTGACAGGAAGGAGCTCTTTTTGTTATATTTATAATATATATTACAAGTTAGAGTGGGAAATGTTAAGGAGAAAATGAAGAGAGTCAAGGGTCTGGAGTGATGAGGGGGAAACAGAGAAAGAAACCCTTTACTTACATGCCTTTTAAGGAGCCACTACAGAAAATGAAAGAAGGGGCCCTGTAGCTCTACGGGGAGCCTGCTCCATAGTGGCAAAGGCCTGCAGGGAGCAGTGTATGCTTAACGTGTTAGAGAGAACTCGAGGAGCTCTAGTGGCTGGAGTAAAGCAAGGGGGGTGCGGTGATGGGCACACTTGAGATAAGTCAGAACAAAGTGGGGGGCTTCATGGGTCAGCTCTGAAATGGAAACTATGGCAATTTGGGGGAGGAGAATTACAAGATTCTACTAAAGTTTTAAAAGAATCATATTGGCTCTTTGAAGGAAGACAGACAGTAGGGGACAAGACCAGAAGAGGACAGCTGTAATAATCCAGCAGGAGAAGCTAGAAGCTTCTAGGTGGTAGTCGTGAGAAATAGTCATTCTACTAAAATGAGTTCATTTTAAAGATAAAGCTGATGGGATCTGCTGATGAACGGGATGTTAGGTGTGAGAAAAAGGAAGGAGTCCAAGTTTTGAGTCCAAGCAACTGCCAAGTATGAAATAGGGTAGAATGGATATCCAGGTCCCTGGTAAGAAGCTATGCTGCAATCCCAAAGGCACACTGTTCGAATCCACCAGTTGTTCCATGGGAGAAGGAGATGGGCAGTGTCGTGCTATGCAATCTGCTGCCTCTGAAAACCCACTGGAAGGTCAGCGATGAGTCAGTTATAACTCGATGGCATGCAACAACATGCCAAATTGAGGAGTTTTGGTGGTGTAGTATGTAATGCACCAAGCTGTTAACCAAAAGCTCAATGGTTTGAATCCACCACCAAAGATTTACAGCCTTTGGAAACCTATGGGAGGGTCCCTATAAGTTGGAACAGATTTGACAGCACTGAGTTTGATATTTGTTTGGTGGCACTGGACCCCACCAGACTCTGTATAGGAGAAAGATGAAGGAATCATCTTCTCTTTAATATTTAAATATTTACAGCCTTGGAAACCCCTAGGTTCTGCTGTCTTACAGATTCACTGGGAGTGAGAACCAGCACAAAGGTAGTAAGTTTGGTTTCATATGTGTGGTATGCGGTTTGGTATAAGGTTAAAGCACTTCGATGCTAAGCAAAATGTTAGTAGTTCGAACATACCAGTTGTTCTGTGGGAGAAAGATTTTGCCGTCTGCTTTGATAAACATATGTTATCACTGCAATGTTCAGTAAAGTCAGAGCCGACACTTAGCCGACCCCCCAGCAGGTTTTCAGAGACAGCAAATGATATGGAGGACACTGCCCGTCCTTCTCCTATGGAGCAGCTGATAGATTAGAACCACATGCCTTTAGGATTGCAGCACAGAGTGTTACCATTAGGCCACCAGAGTTCCCTGTAAAGATTTACACCCATACAAATCCAACCAGGGTGTTCTAGTCTGTTCTCTACAGAGTCCCTATACGTCTAAATCAACTCAATGACAATGGGTTGGTTTGGTGTTACATTTGTTAACTGGATATCTGCATGAATATACTGAGAAGACTGTTGGGTCTGGATTTCAAGGGGGAAGAGAGGTCCAGAATGGTAACAAACAGTTGATAGATGCATAGGGTTGCATTTAAGGTCATATCATGCATGGTCACAGTGGAGGCCAGAGTAGAAGGTGAAGATATGAAAGCACTGAACACTGGAGCACTCCACCATTCCAGGAGTCAAGAAGAGGAGGAAGGAAAGAAAAAAAAGAATGAGTAGGTCATAGCTTTTGAGACAAGAGAAGTAGAAAGGATTGAGTCTAAAGAAGAAAGTAGTAAATGATAAGACAACATTTAACTATGTAAATACTGCAGATAACCACTAACCACTGAATACAGCATATCAAGACCACCGAGACCATGAAGACTTTGGTTTTGTTTTGGTTTTTGGTTTTGTTGGGGCGGTGGGGACAACTGTCTAACAGATGTGAATTCAACAGGGAATGAGAGAAGAAGTTCCCAGACAGTGAATATACACAACCCTATGCAATAGAAAGAAGGCTTGGTGACACAGTTGTTAAAGTTCTCAGCTTCAAACCAAAAGGTCAGTAGTTTGAACCCATTAGTTGCTCCAGGGGAGAAAGACGCAGCAATCTGCTTCTTTAAATATTTGTAGTCTAGAAACTCTACAGGGCGGTTCTACTCCCTTATAGCCTTGCTCTGGGCTTGAAGCAACTTGATAGCAGTGGTTTGGTTTGAGTCCAACAGAAATATAATACAAGCCACAACTGTGGCCATGTATGTAATTTCTCTCTTAGACACAGGATTGGGCAGGGCTTACACTGTTGTATAAAGAGTCACAATGCATAAAAGCTGACTTGACGATGTCACCTAAAACAACAGTGGCCAAGTTAAAAAGGGAAAAGAATCAAATTAAATTAAGTCTTGTTGTTTGCCATCAAGTTGGAACCAAATCATAGCTGACTCTGCAGTGGGTTTTCAGAGGCTATAAACAACACAGGAGGAGACTGCCCATCCTTCTGTGGGACAACTGGTGGATTCAAACAACATGCCTTTGGGATTGCAGCATAGCTTCCTACCACTAGGCCACCAGAACTCCCTAAATTAAGTGTGCGGTGTTGTTAAGTGGTGTCAAGTCAAACATGACTCATAGTGACCTTATGAACAGAAGACCTGAACCCTGTTCTATAACTATCGTCATTTCTGTAAGTTCAGTGATTTTATATTTTAGGTAGCTCAGCATAATTAAAACATTGTTTAAATATATAATCAGTGTGAAAAATATTAATGAGCTATTTAGCATTCTTTGCCTGGAACAAAGAAATAGGCTGTATAATTTGGTAATTTCAAATGTTCAATGGATATATAAATATATAGCTAAGAGATGTCAAATAGAAAATTCTTTTGAAGAATTTTGCTGTAAAAAGGTGTAGAGGAAATGAAGTGGTTTATCAGAAGGAAGTATGAGGTTAAGACTAGGTTTATTCATTTTTAAACAGGAGATACCAAATTAATGTATTTTATTATTTATTTTTGAATGATGGTGAGATAGTAATTTATTTCATTACAAATTAGAACACTTTCCTCTCATAACGTTCACAATGAGAAGTATACAGTATATAGTTCTCCAAACCAGACACTTTCTTGAGAAGTCAAAAGTTAACAATTTTCTTTTGTTATTTGTTTCACAATTTCCTTCATTGACACTGTTTCATCCAATCATTCCCATGCACTGAATTTTATAAAACTAATTACCATCAACTATGCCCACAGTTACCTCATCTTTTCAGGTCCCTGCAGGATCTTTCCCACTTCCTTTACTCCCTTCCTGTGTGATAGGAATGGTCTAAGAGAGAAAACTGATGT